CAGTCTTTTTTACTTTATATTTCTATGTGCCAATTTATTTTTATTTTTTTAAGGGAGATAAATAGAAACATCAGTGATGAGAGAGAATTGTTGATTAGCTGCCTCCTGCACGCCCCCTACTGGGGATTGAGCCTGCATCCCAGGCATGTGCCCTGACCTGGAATCGAACCATGACCTCCTGGTTCATAGGTCAATGCTCAACCACTGATCCATGCCATCCGGGCTTATTTGCCAATTTTTTTTTTATGAAGAAAAATGTTTATTTTTTAATGCCTTTTAAAATTTCTATAACATTGGGAAGGAACGACTTAATTTCTTCCCTTAAACAGGAAAAAAAAATTGGCAACAAATGCCACTTAATCTCCATTGTAGAATTAGATTAGTTGTGTAATATTTAATAGTACACCAACATTTATGCATGTTTCATTTCTCCTACTGCTTTCGAAGTTGGAGTGCTTGATGCAGTTGGTGAGAGCTGGAGCCACACTTGATGTTTCCACTACACGTTATGCACAGACCCCAGCTCACATTGCTGCTTTTGGGGGACATCCTCAGTGCCTGATCTGGTTGATTCAAGCAGGAGCCAGCATTAACAAACGGGTAAGGGAATTTGTTTTCTTTTCTTTTTCTAGTTATAATTACATGGTGTTGAGTTTTAAATTGAGGCCTTAATTAGCGTTTGATATTTTTACCTGTGGGCTAATTGGAATTTATGTTTATTGAATTACTTGTGGATAATAGGCCTTTCACATAGCAGTGCTTTCTGTTTATAGAGTACTCTCACCTGTTACATGATTTACTGTGATCCATGGTGACCCAAATGATTTGCCCAAGGTTACAGCTGTGACTGAAGGAGTCTGGCCTTAAGCCCAGCTTTCCTGGCATCCCTGCTCACAGCTACCTTAGCCTTGTTTCCACGGATAATTATGCAAACATATTCATACTAGCAAAATATATTTAATAGCTGTGATTAAGTTAGCCTTAGCAGAATGACCAGTGTGAGTTAATGTTGCTTCAGGTACAAGTTGGGGGTGATGACGACAGAGATAAATAGTTACTAAGAAGTGACTTCTGGACACCAGATGCAAAGGTTTTGTATTTAAGCATACAAACGTAAACATGAAAACGCTGGGATTTTTTTTTTTTAAATATATTTCTTTATTGATTTCAGAGAGGAAGGGAGAAGGAGAGAGAAATAGAAACATCAATGATGAGAGAGAATCATTGATTGGCTGCCTCCTGCATACCCCACACTGGGGATCAAGCCTGCAACCCAGGTATGTGCCCTTGGCCGGAATCGAACCTGGGACCCTTCAGTCCGCAGGCCGACGCTCCATCCACTGAGCCAAGCCAGCTAGGGCGTTTTTTTTAAAACTATATTTTTATTGATTTTAGAGAGGAAGGAAAAGAGAAACATCAATGATGAGAATCACTGATTGGCTGCCTTCTACACATTCCCCACTGGGGATTGGGCCCACAACCCCGGCATGTGCCCTGACCGAGAATCCAACCCGTGACCTCCTGGTTCATAGGTTGATGCTCAACCACTGAGCCATGACGACTGGGCAGAATGCCGGTTTTTTAATGGTGTGTTTTCAGTATTCTTTTCACATGAGTTGAGGGAGGGGGAGCGGAGGAACCCATCAGAAGAGTTCCTAGCTTATTGGGAACTCTCTTAAACAGGCTTGTGGTTGTAAAAGACTCCATAGATAGTCTGACTAGAGCATCCCCAGTCTTAGCACCTGCCCCAGGTTGGACTCCTAAGGCAGTGGTCGGCAAACCGGCTAGCGAGCCACGTGCAGCTCTTTGGCCTCTTGAGTGTGGCTCTTCCACAAAATACCACGTGCTGGTGCGCACATACAGTGCAATTGAAACTTCGTGGCCCACGCGCAGAAGTCGTTATTTTGTGGAAGAGCCACACTCAAGGGGCCAAAGAGCCCCATGTGGCTCTCGAGCTGCAGTTTGCCAACCACTGGTCTAAGGGACTTGTGCCATGGGCTTTTTTTCTTCTCCTTTATCCTATTTTTATATTCTTTTCCTGGTTTTAATCTTTTGGCATGTTAAAGACTAGCCATTTTCTCAAGATTAGGAGATAATATCTCTGCCATCTCTAAGGTCAACATAAGGAGTTTCCAAAAATTAGGCGTACTGCTAATAATCATCAAGGGTCTACTTTGTGCAAAGTAACTTTTATTTCCTCTTTTTTGTCTTTCCTAAGATTCGTCCTTTGATGATAGCCAGAAATAAAGTAGTTGCAAGCCCCTCTCCTAAAGATAACACAGATACCCACCTACAAAACAAGTAATTGAGGAAAAGTATTTTAGCAGTGATTTAACACAAGGATTGATGGGAGAGGGGACTTGAGGAATAGAGGGGTAATTTATTCTCCGTAATAGACTTTTAGTAGTGAGGACAGTAAAGGGAGAGCCCTGGATTTTAGACCTATTTCTGTTACTCAACTGGAACTTATATCTCCACACAGGATGCCTTTATATATTACAGACTTCTTTGCCACTTTGTTACTTTTTAAAATAATTTTTAAATATGTTTTTATTAATTTTAGATAGAGAGGAAGGGAGAGAGAAGAAAATATCAATGAGAGAGAAACATCAAACAAAATGGATCGGCTGCTTCCTGCATGCTCCCACTGGGGATGGAGCTGAAACTTGGGCATGGGCCCCAAAGGGAATGAAACCAGTGACCTGGTGTGTGGGTCAATGCTCAACTACTGAGCCACACTGGCTGGACAACTTTGTTACTTTATCCACCTATTCAGGAGTTATAAGTTGGCAACTGTATACTGTTGTTGCTGTAGGCATTGCCTGTCTCTACTTGTCTCATTCCTGGTGCTGCATTCTTCTTTCCTCCCCCTTTATTCCAGTAGGACGGGTACTAAGCCTTGATTCCACACTCTGCTTCCTCATCTCTCTGGCCTTGGGCAAGTAATATTCTTGGTCTGTGGCTCAACCTTTTTATCAATAACATATGGACAATCCATAAATGGCAGTAATTAATGTTTAATATTAATATGGAATTTAAGTACAGAATACTCTACATGTTAATTTCCATTAAATTGTTACATAGAGTCTAATTTACAGCTAAAGAAATTGCCTAACGCTACTTTCAGTCCTTTCTGAAATAATCCCCCTTTTCGTATAGTGTTTTTAGCAGCTCATTGTTTTCCATAGGTAAAAGGTTTGTGCCCCCCACTCCTTCCTCTGAGCTGCTCTAGTTAGCACTGTGTGGAAATCTCTCCTAAACTTTCTCCCAGGGCCAGTCCCCAAATCCCTCTCTCTCCTTACAACCCTCACTTGTTTTAATTGTTCACGTGGCTCAATATCCCCAGGTCCTCCCATGTCAAGGGTGCCACTTGGATTTCTTAAGCATCCTGGCATTGCTCCTGATAGGATCTCAGTTGGCTGTGGTCTGATGTTGAACTTCGTTCTGAATCTCAGATGTTGCCTTGCTCTGTTAGGTAACAGTGGGACTGCTATGACAGGCACCCAGGGATCCTTGAGGTCCCAGTAGCCCTTTTGTTGGCTTCCCCAACACACTGTTGATCCATCTTGAGGTAGTTTTCTTCACTTTCCAGATAAACTATTTTAAAGCCAGGTCCAGGTTTTTCTTAGGCTTTTATTTGTTCGTGTGTGTGTGTGTGTGTGTGTGTGTAACTTTTTTGAACCTAGCATAGTATTTCTTGACATTTTGTTTTAACCCATCTTCTTGTTCTAATCTTTTAGCATGTTAATGACTAGCCATTTTCTCAACATCAGTAGATAATACCTTCTGCCATCTCTAAGGTCAACATAAGGAGTTTCCAGAACTTAGGTGTACTGTCTGGAGGCTCAGTGTTCTAAGTTTACACAAAGGAAGTGAAGTTAGTATTTAAGTGATTTATTTTTGTAAGTCTATAGCAGCGATTTTTAACCTTTTTCATTTCATGGCATGCAAACTAATTGCTAAAATTCTGCAGCACACCAAAAATTTCTTTTGCCGATCTGACCCAGAAAAGGTATAATTTTGATTAATTTACACTGATGGCTGTTTGTTTTTTGTTGGTGGTGGGTTTTTTTACAATCTAAGGGAAGAGAGGTCAGTGCCCCTGACTAAATAGTCAGGTATTGCATGTTTTAAAACTTATTGCAGCACTGGTTAAAAATTGCTGGTCTGTCTTGACTATCCCTGGGTGCCATTTTTTGTGTTTGCAAGTCATCTCTTTAATACCCCTTCAAGAATGTTGCTGGTATTTGATGTTGCTTCCATAGTTTCTTGTACCTAGATTAGAAATAAGAGTTTTCTTTATTAAAATTCAAGGTGACTTGTCCGTCTTCAGATTTCTAATAACCTCTCCCGCTTTCCTTTATTACTCAAGAGTTTGCCAACAATACTCCCAGAACCACACTACAAACTATTTGGTGTTTTTAAAATGTGACTGGGCTGAAATCAGTAACATTAAAATGGCTCTCTACTCTTACTCTCTTGGCTACAGTTTTCTTTAAGTAGTATTTATTCTGCCCTTCCCAGTTTAATGATGTTCTGCTTGTGTAACACAGAACAGGTAGTTTTGCTCTTGTCATCTGTTACTATCCCACTATCTTCTGGAAATAGTAGCAAAAATCCTTTTCCTTCTTGTTCCAAAGGTAGCTTTCTAAAAACAAAACTTTATTTTCCCTGAGAGTTTTTGTTGTTTTGCTTTGTGGGTTTTGTTGTTGTTTGTTTGTTTGTTTTTGCAAAACCTCATCTAAATCTCAGTTCTACTTTTTCTGGCAATACCTATCTGAAATTTTTATGTGTCCTTAATATGTACCCCTCCCACCCTTACCCATTTTGGGGGAGGATAGGGGTTATGTTTTTGTTTTTTAAAAATCTGAGTTCAGTTGTTAGCTCCTTATAGGACCACATGGTTTTCTCTGTTTCTTGAAAAATGGGATTATTCTGTGTACTTTTATATCACTTTTGAACATATCTTAAAATACATGTACACACTTTTTCAAAACTCCACTAAACTGTCAGGTCTTTCATATTACATTTTTCTGTACAATAATGTACCACTCTTTTTTTTATTTTCGCCCTCACCTCAGTTTTCCCCCCTGTAATTTAATATGCGTTGGTGAGGAGCTCAAATATTGACTGAATTTATGAATGAGCTATTTTCCAAATACTGTGTCAGATACTGTAAAGTTGCCCCTCTTCTGCTTTATATCTTTATCCCTTAACTATGTGGTAGTCTTCTGCCAAGTTCCGTTTCCAGTGACATTGAAGTGTTATTGATTCAGGAATGGTTGCTGCTTAGCCACTTGGAATTTCCCAGTCAAAAAGTCCTATCTCAGTTTTTTTAGTAGAAACAACTTCTCTTATTCTGTATCTTTCTTTACCTCTAATTTACATGAGAACCTATAAATCAAGTTGTGTTTCAAATTTTTTCCATTCATGCAGTGTAAACTAATTCATCCTTTTTTTGGATTAATACATTAGTGTTGAATTGTGTCTCTGAGTCAGCTCACTTCCACTACCTCTTCCAGCATCGTTTTCTGAAGCATAAATCTGATTCTAATACAGCCTTTCTACTCATCACAAACAGCCTGAGTTCTATACGAGCTGGCTATGTTTGACCCTTGTGTTCTCCCTTCCCATCATTTCTTGACTCTGACCTCAACCCTGTTCTCTACAGCAGCGGTCACCAACGGGTGGTCCTTGAGGTCCGAAAGGTTGGTGACCCCAGCTCTACAGTGTAGTCCAAATTCAAGTTCAAGATAAAAAAAAAATGCAAAGGAGAAACTGGTGATGTCTTGAATTAAGCTAGCCTTGTGGTAGATATGGGTAAACTAGACTAGATGTTAGATATTGGTGATATTTCTTGGCCCAACCTTTTTTTGGCCATGCCCCACCTAAGCATCTCCAAAATCCTGATCCCCCCACCCCCACCTGTGACATATAATTCTTATGCAAAAAGTGAACTATTCACGTGGAGGAAGCCTAAAAGGCCATTAACTTAGTCTAAACAAGCTTCCAAAGAACATGGCATCTGTGAAAGAGAAAAATAAAAAAATGAAAGGACAGTTGAAGTACTGAGGAAGAAATCACTAAGAAATTGTTTAAAAAATAATAATATGAAGTGATACGAAAAAATAGCAAATAAAGTTTCAAAACATAATAGAGAACTGAAATGCATAAATATGTTACAGTATATGTTTATGTATTGTATATGAGGCCCCTAGAAGCATAAGAAATGCAAAAAACTTGCTGTTGATAACTCATTCTCGAATTGCCCCCCTTAAAAATCAAATTGCCCGCCTTGGGGCATGTGCCCACATTGTGAACCACTGATCTAGAGTGTACATGCTATCACTGCTGTACAGGTCCCATAGGGTTGTTGTTTTTTCTTGATCAAAGGGTGCCCCTACCCTGGGTTGCTCTTATATTCTCTTCACATCTACATTTTTTTGTGTTGTGCATCAAATTTGGCTTACCATATTGTTTCATTTCAAAGATGAATGAAATGGTGCATGTTGATTAATTTTACTTTAAAATGTGGAAATCTTTTTTTTGAAGTCGTAATGCATTTTACTTTGTTTTTTTAAAAATGATTTTCTCTTTATTGATTAAGGTATTATATATGTGTAAAATGTGGAAATCTTGTTGGATCTGAATATTGGTGTGTGTCCTTTTTTGTGTTTTTTTTTTTTTCCCTCCAGGACTGTGAGGGTGAGACTCCCATTCACAAAGCGGCTCGCTCTGGGAGCCTAGACTGCATCAGTGCCCTGGTAGCTAACGGGGCTCACATCGAGTAAGTGACTTTGTTTATTCTTCCCAGCCAAGATGTAGCTAAGGGTGTTGTGTTTAGAAACAGTATTTAGAGCAAGCAAAGTCCTGAACTTTGTTTTTAATGTTAGTAATATAATTTTGCTTTTTAGATCAGTTGGTTTTGGTGAGCAAAATTGTGTGGGTTAAGTTGACCAACAGAAGGTGCAGAACAGTTAACTGATTAAATTTGGAACCTAGCATCATTAATTTTGCCACTAACAATATCACCATGGGCAAGTCTTCAAACTTTTCTTTGCCAAGTAGTAATTTGGAAACAAAGGCCTTGGATTGGATTAAAATATTTTTCAGGCCTGTTGGCTCAAAAAAATCTTGCAGACAATTAGCTTTTCTAAATTTTTATTTCTTCATCTTTTAGCAGATGTGAGAACATTATGTTTTAAAGCCTATTATAACTTTTGATGATTTTATAACTCCTTGTAAAATGTAACTATTTACATTAAAGACTTTAAAATCTCTGAGTTTTTGATATGATGGCATTTTAGAATATCTTTGTTTTGGCCCAGTTTACATCAACTAGCTTATTTGTAGTTTGGTAAAACAAAATATTTGAGTGTATTTTTAAGTGTTATTTTGTATGTAAATCATTAATTAGCTAGTCATGGCATTAATACTTTTATTTTAGGTAGTAAATTCATTTGTATTTACTTTTAAAGATTTATATGATAAAAATTTTTCTTCTGCAGTTCACAGCATTAACAAAATGGATGCGGTTTTCACCCTTAAATGTTGAGTGTAAGCTATAGAGCTGTAATAACCAAAATAACTATGATAATATCAGCTTTTTTGTTTTATCTTGAGTGTCTTGAATATTTCATAAAAATTAATTACAAGCCACTTTATTCTATTGGCGATGTGAAATTTTAGACTTTGAGAGAAATAAAACCCACAAAACTAATAACTTAGTTTAACCCTTTGGTTTCCACTTCATTGTTTGACTCTGTATTATAATAAATATTGAAAATATACCCTGGAGAGCAAAAATATAGGTTAATGCAAAACCTGTCTAATACCAGGGGCTGTTGTTGGGCTTTTAGTATCTTAGCTTCTGTTTGATTTAGTATTAAGGTTAGTCATTAGTTGGGCTTGGGTCATTTATGTAGTGATTTAGTTTTATAAATATGACTTGCATTTTAACTGTTATTTTTCAGGGTACCTTGTTATTTTCATATGTAGTTATAACTTAAGGTAATGTAAAAACAATTAAATACATATTATACAATGTTAAAAACATTGAGTTAATTCTCAATGGATTACTTTAAAAGCAAAGATATATATGCAGTTTTCTTAGCTGAATTTAGATTAAAAACTTATCTTTAATAACAAGCTTTGGTTATAAAATACAGAGTCATATAAAATAATTGATTAGATTGCTTAATTGTCACTTATTGAAATAATTAGAGGTTGATCTTTTTAATGACTTATTTTCGAAACAATTTTCTTAATTGGTCCTGAACATTTTATTACTAAAATGTTAGTTTTATTCATTTTAATGGATAGCTTAATCCTTTAAGCCAGTAAATATCTATTGCTATGTCCTTTTAATAGGTGTCTTTTTAAAAATGAGATCATTTTATTTACAATTCTGTCCTTGGTTACAGGACCCTCGAGTGTCTCTTTTCCACCAAGTGTGACTGAGCATGACCTCAAGTGCCAGTCTGTTTTTCAGTATAAGAGCCATTCCCTCGAGACCCTGCATTATGGTGATTTCCCTTGACTGAACTTTCAGATATTTTTTAGAAGAAATATTTAGCCTGAACCACCTAGCCAAAAGCGATTTTTAAAAGTATAAGTCTTTGGCCTGGAGATAGAGCACAGTATTCATTATTTATTGTAATTATATGTGGGGTTATTTAATTTTAACATCTAGATAAAAATGTCAGTTTTGACAATAAGCTAAATTGTAAATTGCTTTTTTGATACTTTTTCTGCACATTTTTGTAGTTTTAAGTTTTAGTCTACCAATAAGTAATAGCTTGATTCCCCCAAATTATGACACTTAGACCTATTTTACTTGTTTCGCATAATGCTGCTTATGTGGAAAAGTGTAGTTCTAGCAAATAAAATGCCTTTTTCTATTTTAAGATCAAGGGGCACACGATTTATTTGAAGTTACTTTTTTTTTCAGTTTAGGACAGGCCAGATTATTAATTCTTCATATTACATGCCATAATGCTTAGGAGATAATATAATTTTTTCCCCTGAATAGATTAAAAATTATCTCATATCATTATTTTATAACACTTGGTGGGATTTAATAATTTTGTTTTTAATTTCTACTTTGCTTTTTATATATCAGCTGCATAAAGTGGCCAAAGTCTTAAGTTGCTGCTTTTTGGTCATTGGGTAGATAGTGGTGAGGGCAGCTATTCCACACATCTGTGGCTAGAATGCTTTGTTATGTAACTAACTTGTCAATGTAGGCTGCATCTGTAAGATAACGCATGTCAACTGCTGTGCACCGTATTACATTTTCTAGCACCACACGTGAGTATATTGATGGAGTTTCTTTTTATTCTCTTATTTTACATCTTGAGTTTTGGTGCCAAGTTTTCTTTTTCATGTGAGGTTTTGTTTCTACTTATCATATATGATGGTCATTATTTGCAATTTATTGTTCAGATCTAAAAATAAAAATACTCAAGTTTACATCAGTTCTATGACCAGACTAAATGTTTGTGTACCTTAAATGATCTACACCTCTACAAATGCTTCTCATTCTCATTTTTTTCTCAAGTATGATAAGTATGGGGGTTTCATTAAGTTTGTCATCCTTAATTTTGCTTGTATGGCAGTTCGGTTTTTCATTGCAGCTAATATTTGAATGCTGCCTACTCCACACTTAGGATTTTTGAGTGGAAGAAAGGCATGTACTGACATGGAAAAGTTGTTGCCTCGTTCTTTTGTGAACAAATTAGTAACAATATAAGTTGTGTTAATGTGATTTCAAAAAAAGATGCTTGAAAACACTATCTGCTGATAATGAAGCAGACCTCTTTACTACTAACAATGTAAAGTGCAGATTTTGAGTCTTGTATTATTTTTACTTTTAGTGTTTTTGTACCAATTAATTTTGGTTACTTTGTATTTATTTTCTTGTGAGATTGAAGTTGAGAATGATCCCATATCAACCAGATATTAAAGTAGCTTTTTTAATGCCTTGGAGTGAAAAGGGGTGGTGGTGGAGGTAGTTAGCAGGAGTTAGGGTAAATCCAGAATTACTTGGGGGTATAGCTCAGTGGTAGAGCATTTGACTGCAGAATTGCTTGCATCTCAGGCAAATTTGCTAGTCCATTTTAATACTACATTATATAGGTGGCAGTGTTTAGGTATGACAGAGTCTTAAAGCTTTCTGTAGAATCCATTGATTCTGTTGCAACCAGATCTTCAAATGAGCTTACATATATTTTAATTTAATTAGTGTGATCCCTAGAAGAACTTAGCTGGAGAAGCTTCTATAGCCTTATATAAACAAGCTCAGTGACTCACTCTAAAAAAATCTTGCCTAATTTAGAAATCAGGCACAGTTGCCTATAATAACAAAAGTGATCTTAACAGACTTTTTTTTAATGTTGCCCCCAAAAAAGTATGTTGCTGAACTTTTAGGAATTTTTCATTGACATGAAGTTAGTTTAGTTTGGTTCATAATTGGTGGCCATATTTATGACCCACCTTTATTTGTTTATCTATAGAGCCCCTCTCTGGAAGCAAAATTTTTATTAGGGCAAGTCATGTGATAAGCATATTTTTAATAATAGTGCAAGAAGTTTGTTTGCAACTTTTGCCCTTGGCAAAATAACCCAGGTTTACTTTGAAATTTGTGAGTTAATTGTTATTATGGCAAACTTGTCTGATCTTACTATTTCCTGGGTCTTTTTTTTTTTCTTTTATTAAAGTGTTACGCGCAAGATGGAGGAATTAACTTGCTGAGATAGCTATCAAAGTTCTGCCTCCTGGGCAGGAGCAGATGTTGGACTGGGCAGTATTATAGAGTTGTTGACAAATTTAGTTCAGAATTTTATTTTTCATGCTTGAGTAATATGTAGGTTTTAATATTTATTTAACCACAGCTTTTACAAAGAATGTTTTCAAATAAAACCAATGATTTCTAAATCCAAATATATTTTACCTTTGCTAAAATATAGTAGGAGCATGTTAAATATTTCATCAGTGTATTATATTTTAATGTATGCAAACATAATTGGGGTTCATTTGCAATGTAAAACTATCTTCATCAGTGTTGAACTTAAAATGAAAACTTGGCACCAAATTTTTAAAGATAGAAACTTTAAAAAATAGTGTCTCCCTACCGTTACCTAAAGAATATATTTAAGAAAGTTTTCATGATTATTAAGAATTTGGATACCAAAGGGTTAAAAATATACATTTTTCTTTTACTGAAGAAATCTCATGATGTTTGCTAATGTTTTGTTTGTACAAATGGACATTTAGTAATGTTTTTAATTTTTTTTTTTAATGATTCCATGTATTTGCTTATTTCCATCTAGGAATAGTTACTAATGTATTTGAGATACAGCATACCAAATTTTAAAGTAACCAGAATCGTGAGTTAATGGTTTTTAGTCCATACTATTAAATTTTGTTGAAATATTGACATAATTATAAATTGGCTTCATGCTAAAAATTATTAGAAGTGATTGAGGAGGCAGTGTTTTAGAGCAATAGCTTTTGGTCAAGGAGGTCACATGATAATGGCTTATGCTCAATAAGTGTGCTTCTGCACTTCATGTATGTATATGTATTTTTAATCCAAATGTTGCCTGCAAATATGTGATCCCTTATTATTTAAGTTTCCTGTTTTATGAACCATTGCCCGTTTTAAATCACACAGAAGATTCTGAATCTGTAAAAACTACACATGTCAATGTTTTACAGCTACGTAATTCGAATTGAATTGATTTTTTCAAGTAATCCTAGAAAGGGGGAGCATTCCATATAGAAACT